ATGAGCTTCCTTGTCTTTTTTCCTTCTATTCTCCCTTCTCCCCCTCCGCTGGAGGAGGAAGCGGGGAGTCGTGTGAGCAGCTTCATAGCATTTTATTACTGGCCAGGGTTAAACCACAGCACACATCCTCACTGCTCTTAAGCACAGATGAATGCTATCCCTACCAAAGCAGTGTGACTTAACCGAGTCACCTAGCTAATCACAATCTGGATCAGAGAGAGTCACAGCCCAGTGCCCCAAATTTATCTCACTGGATTGTCCCACTCACTCACTAGGCCAGTGGCAGTAAGAAACATCTCACCTGTAAAATATATTGTTGATCTGCCGTCTCACGTATGCTCGCAGACCCAGGAATTTCCCATAGATCCTGTGCAGAATAGTCTTTAGGAAGTCTCGTTCTCTAGGGTCTTCACTATCAAAGAGATCCAGCAGCTGTGGGGAGAGAAATTCAGCGTCTGCATACTGCCTGTCTGGACAATGCTACCAGCAACAGCGGGCACTGCTCCGGCTCAGCAAAAGCAGCTCTTTCAGCTGAGTGATGCCTGCAGCACCCTGAGCACAGTGGTTGCTTCCCCAAAACATTCAGCCTCCTAGTCACAAGCTGGAACCACCCACACCTCTTTTGTCTCTGGAAGCACAGTGACGGCCTGCACACGCTACAAAGCTGCATGTCCTCAGATTTCCCCTGCAAGCCCACCAGTGCCGCCCTCCACTCATCATACATGTGATGAGTTAACTCTGGGGACTACGGCTCACACACGTTCTTGCCCCCACACAGAGAATTCTGGCTGCTCATTCAAGAGTAGACAAAGGAAAAAAGAAAACGCACATCATCAAGGCCGTGCCGACAAAGCTGTGTGCCTAACACCGTGACCAAAATCTGCCGCCTGTCTTTCACAAACGTGGTGCACAGCGTAGGGGCAACGACTACTCACCGATAGTACAAACTTCTGGTCAATGTACTTCTTGGCTACATTTGGTTGAAAGTCAGGCGATTCCAGGAACCGGAGGAAGAACTCGTACACCAGCTATGGGGGGAAAAGGAGAGATCGCTCAAATATCCCCCCCTCCATCCTCTCACCAGTGTTTTCTTCACATTTTAAATGTTTTCCTTCTCCCTAAGGATTCAGGGAAAGTCTGGGAAGGCTGAGCAGGAGCACAGAAAACACAGAAACCTGTGTTTCCCAACTCAATGGGATCAATTCAGCCGCCAGTAGCACATAACTGCCCAAGTCTGCATCACCTCAGGTCCCAGACCAAAGACAACAGCCACCTAACTCAAATGAAGACACTGGGCCTGGGAAACTCTTCTCCCACTTTCAGCCCACGTCTCTACAGGGAACAGAAACATCCAGAGGAGAGATGGCAAAGGCTCAGGCTTCGGTAGAAGCCCCTGGGACACACCATGGATGAACAGAAAAGCAGAGAAATGAAACAGACCCCAGGAAAACATGTTGTGTGCTCTGCCTCCTGGGGCCTGACTCCAGACTGGCTTGGCTAAACCATGCAAGCTGCATGGTGTGTCCCACTTGGGCAACAAAGGGCAGCTTGCTTTAAGGCTGTCAGTGCTGAAACAGCAACTTCTGGTCCTGCTGTCCTCCTAGAGGGATGAGTCCATTCCTGTGCTGACCCTCCCTAGTGCTTCTGAGGGGCCAAACAAGAGCACTGCATCCCAAAGGTCTGACTCTGGAATTAAAGGAGCTATGGGGCCACCTTCCATAGGTAGGGCCCACCTGCCAAGGACAGCAGCACAGAAAAAAACAAGTTGATGGCCGAAAACCTCAGCAGGCGCTTGCCACAAATCCATGGTGGCTGCTGCTGACTGCCCTCTGAGAAACAAATGCTTCCCAGCATTCACAGCATGCTGGTGCTGAAGACACACCATTTCTATCGACGGTCACATCCCCTTGTCATCTGCAGCAGTGAGAAGTGATTAACCACTGCTGCAGAACTGCACTTTTATTTCCTCTCTGTATTTTCTGCTTCATTGTGCAGAGCCCAGCTCTTGTTTTGCCTCTGTCTGCTGGACAGCACGTCCCTGTGCCCCCTCAGCCTGGGGAGGCCCCCCGAAAGCTTACCTCCTGACTTCCACTGCTGAGCTGCTAAACCATGCTCACTGTTGCTTTCATAACCCTTTTCACCTACTTGAAGGCTGTTTCCCAGGACACTCAGTCTAATGAAAGGATCCTTGACTCCCTCCCCATCTTCCTCCCCTCCAGTTCCCTACCTTTTCCAATCAAGTGCTTGCTCCCAGTTAACACAACTGAATTACATCCAGCATACAAGAGACATGTCAGCAGGTGCTGGAACAGGCTTTGCTTCGGCACCAAGCAGTCCTCTTCCTCCATGCACCTCCCAGGGAGCTGGGCAAGGAGAGGAGCACTGAAGCAGACAGGGGTGCTGTCTCCAAAGCTGCTGAAGCCCAGAGGATGAGGGCTTTTGAGCCTTTGGGAGGGACATCAATGCTGCTGGGAATTGCCTCTTTACACTGGCAATCCGGCATAATTCCCTCACTCCCAGTAAAGTGTTCACTCCCAGCCTAGCTGAGGGCCACGTAGGATTACAGCCATCTGCAGGTGACTGTACACAGCCATCAGCCTGTTTCCAGGACACCCCTGCTGCTTCCATTGCCTACAACCACATCTGACCCACGGGTGGCCTGGTCTCTCCCAGTCCCCACAGCAGCAAGCTCACAGGCTGGGGATCCAGTGGCAGGGCTGGCAGACTCCAGCCCTGGACTCTAATTCCTGGAGATAAATTCACCACATCTATATCCAACCCTCATCCTCCTCACCTGAAGGTGTGGCCAGGCAGCCTCTAACGTAGGCTCATCTTCCTCGGGGTCAAACTCCGCACCTGTGGGATTGGACGATGGCGGGAGTGTCCGGAAGAGGTTCACTGAAAACTGAGGTGAGCGAAAAGGCATATGAATGACATCCCTGCACCCCACCGTGGCCCTCCCCGTAGCAAATCCTTCACCGCAGAGCAACGCACTGTGATTTGCCATAGCTGTGCCCACAGATCCCTCCCTAGACGCTGTGGGGTTGCAGGATGCATATGAACTCACAAGTGTAGTCTGTGCCAGGGGCAAGAGCTTCCACCTCTCCCTACATCAAGCACTGTCACCCTGCTCCCATTCTTCTCTTTCTGGGGGTGGGCAGGTAATAAGGAATGGGTAGGACTGGAGTCATATTCCTCTTTGACAAACCCCTGTCCTCCCCGCCCTGCCGTGCTTCTGAACAGTCTGCACACAAGCCCATTCTGGCCCCATGCCCTACCATGATAACAGCTTCGGGGTAGATGGCCTCAGTGACAACATCACGGTTGTGCGTGATGTATTCCACCATCTCGTTGAGACCGGCTCGCTTCACCTCCTTGAACTTCAGGTCACTGAGGGGGTCGGAGATGAAGTCAAAAAGCACGCAGCACTGCCGCAGCTTCTGGATGAAAAGCTCTTCTCGTTCGTGCGGAGGAGCATCTGTCAGAGAAAGCAGGGACATCTGTCCTTGGAGACAGGCAAAACAGCTTTCCAGTTTGCCCAGTGTGGTTTGCTCCCTGTCCTGCATTCCCCCTTCCTTGTCACAGTCCCCACTGAGCTGGCGGGGCAAAAGGAAAAAGCAGTGTTATCCCTGCCATATAGAGATGGGTGAGGAAGGAGAGGGATTGAAAGGCCTCTGGAGCACTATCCCATAAGGTGATTTCAAACATGGTAGTATCGTCTGATCTGATAAGCCCTGATCCCTTCCCAGTACAAGGTACACTGGAAAAAAAACTCACTTGACTAGCTCCCATCACAGACCAGTGACACCCACGCCCTGCACCCCAGTCACAAGGGGAGTGGGGCAGAGCACCCCATAGGCTAACCCTCCTCCCTGAAGAGAAGAGCCAAGGCAGGAGAGGCCCTCTATTAACAGCATTCCCTTTTCGATATATTGCCACTGGAGACCATGCACTGCTAAGGCCAACCAGGCAAACTGACCTCCGACTCGCAGAATGGCTGCTGAGCTGCCAGGCAGTCACCCTTCCTAAAAAGGACTGCCGTTTTCTGTGAGCAACGTCAGCAACGGCTCTGGCTGATGCTTTCTCCTTGTCCACACTTAAGTCATGTTTAATTGCACCATTATGTAGACTAACTGCTAATGCCGGGTAATTGCCCTGATGGGGACAAGTTCAATAGCACTACCGTAATTTGCAACGGAAACACAAGGAGGAGGAGGCCTGGTTGTGCTGATTTCAGGCAGGAACGAGCTCCTCTCTCATACAGAGCTGGCTGGCCCAGAGCAGCGCAGAGATTTGTTTCATTCCATGGCAAGTCACGCTCAGTGGTCAGCGGGAGGTGGCCTGGATGTGATTGTTAAGGTGTTTGGCTAGCTTGATAGCTGGGTCGTTAGCTCCTTTAGTTGGCTCTTGGTAGTTGTTAGGAGGGGAGCAGTTAGTGGTTTGGGGTGTCGGGGTTTTTTCTCACCCTTCTCAGGCTCAGGGACTGTTCGCTGCTTTGGGACCTGGCTGTGTGTCGGTCGGCATGTGGTGAGCTACTGTATGTTCTGTTTTCTATTGTTTTAATTACTTAGTAGTAGTAGTATTGTTAGTATCACTATAATTTACATTTAAATCATTAAACGAGCTGTCCTTGTCTTCTCCTCCACTCTGCTGCACTAGAGGAGGGGAAGAGGTGATCGAGCGACTGAGTGGTACTTAACTGCCAGGTAAGGCTAAACCACAACACTGGTTCTCTCCCAGGACCCAGGCTGTAGGAACCAGGAGCAGCCTGCACCAAGGTCTCTGTACTTCCCCACCTTCCTGCACAGAATCTGAGGCAATCCTAAGTACATATAAGCATGAGGGTTTAAATCAGTTCAAACGGGAAGGTAAGTACCAAAGTCTGCATTGAGTATCCTCCTTTTCCTTTACGCTATCCATCAGTTCTCAACCTGCAACCAAGCCAAGCACCTTTCCCAGAGCCATCCCCGAGGCGCTGCCAGGAGGAGGTCAGCAGGACGCTGCCAGGGTTGCTTTGGGAAGAGCCCTTACACCACTGCACTCTGCCTGGAGAAGACATAGCTTGTCACGTAGGTCACCCCGACCCCACAGCTTCTTTACCTTTAAGGGCTGGGAGCTTTTGTAGTTCCCGGTTTTTGCTCAGATTGAAGCGAGAAGAGCTGTGCCGGCGCTCCTTCTTCACAATCTGGGGTCCTCCCGAGTATTTAATCTTATTCAGCTGGGTTGGTGGGGGAGCGCTGTTACTGGGCCGCTTATTTGAAGTTGTCTGCTGTTGCTGCTGCTGCGGCTGCGGCTGCTGCTGCGGCTGCTGGGCCTGACAAGGGAGAAGAGAGTAAAACAACTCAAGCTTTTACCTACAAGTCTCACAGGCAATCAGTTATTGCCATCACCTTCTCGGACTGAAGAAACCCGGCACGTTTTTCAGTGTTGCACTTGCAGTTCAGTGCATCTCACCCACTTCTGCAGGGCTCTCGACCCGTTGGTTGCATTTGCACCATACCTGCAAGCTGAACATCGCTTTTACTCGTGTCTGCAAGGTTCCACAAAGACACCAGAGCCTCTCAGCACACAGGGTGCTAGGGATATGGTAAGCAAAAACACATCTTGTAACAAGTCATGGAACTTTGCTGACACGAGAAAGCAGAAATAAGAACTTTCTGTGGTGCAAACGGAGACATCGGTGTGCCACAGCCTCTGATTACTGCACTCTATAAAACACACAGCAGCAAAGTTTTGAAACCTAGCAAATTGCTTCCCCATCTTTGTGCAAGGAACCATCTGGGAAAAAGCAGAGCAGCACATAGTTCAGAGCAGACATGATGGCCCTGGAAAGGCAGTAGTGAAGACCACCAAAATCATTGCTCCATCCCTAGACCAGGAGTTGCAAAGTCTCCAAACCACACAGGCCATACCCAAAGCTTGTGGGCTTTCCTAAGCCATACTGGCTGCTCCTTTCATCTCCACTTTGTCTCAGCCTCACTGCTGCCTGGACTTCTGTCAATCTGCTTTTTCCACATCCCCCCTTTTAGCCACAAACCCTTTGCCTGCACTTTCCTCCAGCAGACATCCTCTCCCTGCTTGTTAAACAGCGGGCACTTTCCTCTTTTTTAGCAGGGGACCAGACACTCAAGTGTTTGCCAGTGTTTGCTCAGCTCAGCTCTGCTCTGACCTCACTGACCAAGTCCCACTTGGACGATAACGACTCAATAACTGACTCTTAAACACCATACTGACCCAACCTGTGGAAAACATGGAAGAGGGGGACATCCTGCCAGCAAGCCTCTAGCAGAGGGCTCAGCTGGAGACAGCACTCAGCCTCCTCTGGTTCTGCTGTGTGAGCCCAGCAACGCTCCCTTCCTCAGCTCTGCCACCTCATTCCGGCTGGCACAATAAGCCAAGGAGCTGCAGGGTGAACCTGTTTAGGACACAACAGGGATAGCGCAATGGATGGGGAGCAGAGGTAGGTGAAATCCTTGAACGACACCCCCTCCTTTCCTCATAAACTGCTCACTGGCACATACAGCGCAGCGGTACAAACGCACACCTCCCCAGAAGGCCGACCAGCAGGATGTTAATGGAAAGGACCAGCAGCGCAGCAGCTCAATCAGAGCTCGCTTCCAAATGAGATATGGCCTGTCTCTTCCTGGGAGGAGCAGCTGAGCTGCAGCTTACCTGAGACAGGCACAGTCCTTACCCTGAACCGAGTCCCGACGGTTTCCAAAGAGGTGTGGCACAGCACCACAGTGTAAGAGCAAGAACTACTGCACAGCACATGGGGAAGCATCAAGGTAGGAATAGGGAAAGCTGCCTACAAGGAGACACTGCCCTACAGATCAGGAACTGTACAACAAATGCAAAGACTCTCTGTGAAGAACAGCATCCAACACAAAACACGAATCATAGAATCATGGAATGGTTTGGGTTGGATGGGACCCTAAAGACCATCTAGTTCCAACCCCCCTGCCATGGGCAGGGACACCTTCCGCTAGACCAGGTTGCTCAAAGCCTCATCCAGCCTGGCCTTGAACACTTCCAGGGATGGGGCATCCACAGCTTCTCTGGGCAACCTGTGCCAGTGCCTCAACACCCTCTCCAGGAAAAATTTCTTCCTGATATCTAATCTAAACCTCCCCACTTTCAATTTAACCCCGTTACCCCTTGTCCTGTCACTACAGCCCCTTGTAAAAAGTCCCTCCCAGCTTCCTTGTAGCCCCTTCAGGTACTGGAAGGTGCTATAAGGTCTCCCCGGAGCCTTCTCTTCTCCAGGCTGAACAAGCCCAATTCTTGCAGGAGGGTGTACTCCCCACCTACCCAAAAATGTCACACACAAACGTTCTGAGCATGGTGTGCGTACCACAGGCTAACAGGCTGCGGCCACACCACCTTCGTGAGGGGTCTGGAAAAGTCCCTGCCACAAGCTTCTACAGTCTTCAGTGGCTGGCACAAAGAGAAACAGAACAACAACTTCAGGTTTAGTTGCTGGTCATTTAGGAAACAGCCACACACGTGCAAATTCACACAACTGAGTTTTGCCAGAGAAAATGCAATGATGGGGGAGGTCAGATATACGCTTAAGCTGCAGCACTCAGAGGGGTTTAGGAGGAATCGCTTCTATATGGACTTTCTGGCACCAAGCTGAATACTTGCTTTCAGGAGGCGCTTCCTGCAGCAGGCCTGCTGTCCTTCTGCCTTCAACACCTCCTACCTTGGCCACATGCATCGGAAGACGCTTGTTTTAAATTTCCTAACACTTTGTTCTCTAATGTTTCCATCCCTGAAAACACAGCAGACTGCTAAAACTGAAAGCTTCTCTCTTAATACACAGGTAATCAACCTCACAGACCGTTTTCCTGACATCAACACCAGCCGACCACAACATGGCTGCAGGCACACATCTACCTGACCGGGCTCAGCCCGGGCTCGCACCACCCCGGCAAAGCCAGCTGCTCGGGAGACACTGCTTGCCAGCAGCTGCTACGGTGCACGTGCTGAAGTGACCAGAGAACAGCACAAAGCCGTTCACCCAAGCGCGGTGCGGCAGCCCCACCTTTCCCGCTGCAGCGGAGCGGCCGCTCGTGCCAACAGGATGGGCCAGTCCCAATTGCAATCGCGTTCACACTCCCCCAGGCACAGGCTCCCTGGTTTTGCACTCCCCTGGGCAGAGGCTCCCTGGCTTCCAACTCCCCCGCCCGGTACAGGTTCCCTGACTTCGTGGCACTTCCTCCCCACTGGTTCCCACCACCTCTCCTCCTCACTAGGAACTTGCCTGCACAAGTCAGTGGGCCCTGGGCTTGCCCTGTGTCATTTCTCTTCACCCCAGGCTCCCAAGGACAGAGACCCTCTTCCCTCAGCCCCCCTGAGCTGTGCCAGCTTCTCCTCCGCTCTCCTACCCATGCATGACCTCACCTCTGCAGGCACTCCTACTGCAGCTGGGTGCATCGCCACTCGAAAAGCCCTTCTGCCTCACTGGTCCCTTGAGCATCCCCCGCTTGCTAAGCTTCTCAGCCCAGATCTCAGCTCCTCCTCCTCCGATGACTCTTCCCTTCCCATCCCTCAAGTCAGTACCTGCTCTCTTTGTCTGCTGTTACACAGCTCCCCTATTAAAATGAAGCTCTCTGCCTCACAAGTAACATCGGCGCACGCTGTAACGCCTGTCTCTGGATAATGAACTCCAGGTACTGCAGTAACAAGCCCCATGGAGATATCTGCAAAACACGTAATACAGCAGCTCAGTGGAAAGGAGCACCCTCTCTCAGAGCTGCAAATCTCACCAGCGAGGCTCCAAACTGCCCTTGAGGCTGCAGAGCAACTCCTCTCTCCTCTTTACTGCTGTTGCTAATCCCTGCTCCCACTTCCAGGTCATTAATGCTCTTCCCCACCCAGCTGCCTCTCCTTTCTGGACTTTTTTTTTTCCCATCCTCATTCAATGCTGCCTTGTTCTCTGACGTTATGTTTCTTTCTCCTTAAACAGCCACGCAGACATTCTCTGCATTCATACCTTCATCACAACTCAGAGGGAATGGACTACACAAACCTTTTATTTCCCACTCCCTGCTCTCATGTTTTCCTCCCCTGCTTCTGTCTCTTCCTGAGCAAATGGCACCCTCCCCCAGGCGAGGGGCTGGCCAGGCTCTGCTGGCTCTTCACCTCAGAGAGCTTCACCCTAAGACGGGCAGCTAAAAGGGCGGTGCAGTACTCCCGCACGTCCGAGGGACCCCAAACACTTGCCTTCCCTTGTGGGGCTGATCTGCTGCTGAACAATCTGCCATTCCAGATCGGCTCCACTAGAAGCTCCTTCGCTTCAGAGAACAAAGCACTACACTTCAGGGTTCCTGGACTGACCCCTACCCTCTCCGTATCCCTCCACAGGAAGTTCTCGCCCACTCCGCTTGAGCTCCTTCGCTTCAGAGAACAAAGCACTACACTTCAGGGTTCCTGGACTGACCCCTACCCTCTCCGTATCCCTCCACGGAGACCTCCATAGGAAGTTCTCGCCCGCTCCGCTTGCTCACATCTGTCAAACCAGAGCTGCTCGTCGACAGGCTTTACTCATTCCACCAGCCAGACAACTTGCCTGCAAAACAAGTCACAACTTTCTGGTACCAGATTAAATTAGGGCTGAGTCCTGCCCTGCTCCTTGAAGCATGGTGTGAGAGAGGAACGCGCGTACTGGAAGAGGACTGCCCTAAAGTTGCTCTCTTGCCACAAGCCCATTAAGCATCTAAGGAGGTATGAAGAAAAAAGAAAATTCTCTTTGGTGAACACAACTTTCACCTTAGAAAAGGCGACCGACCAACCCCAACTCCATGGAAGGATTCACAGGGCACAGAACTCTACACAACGGCAGCAGAGGCATCCAGAGGCTCAGCCCATCAACCCCACCAGGCAACACCAATCCTGGTGTTTCACCAGCCAAACCCCCTCCTGCTTCTGACACCGTGAAAGAGTCTAACTCCCAGCACATGATCCCCAATGTGAAATTCAAAATACCTTTCTGTGCTTCCTGAAGAGCAGGAAAATCGCATTCAAACTGGCATACATTTCTTCTTATCAAGCAAAGAGCTCTCTTCCATCCTGCAGCAGAGCAGTCCGGAGACAGGAAAGCACCAAGAGAGAACAGGCTTCACGGCAAACTCAACAGGGAAAGGGAGAAGTGACCTGTGGCACTGCACACTGCAGAGGTGTCTCCTTTCTGCTCTGCTCTCTGTTCCTATGATCAAAGGAAACCCAGCCTTCCATCTTAAAGAAGGGCTGGATTTTGTTTGGAGTATGAGGAAGTGGCTGGATATGTTTTGTGGGAGGGAAGCTTAGACACATCCCTTCTAAGTTTCTTCTGCACCCAGGAACAACCAGACATTACGTGCCATTTCAGGTCACGGAAGGAAACTTGTAGCCTGCACTGTTCTTCCTTTCTTACTGCATCACTTGTAGTAAGGAGAGCAGCACAGCAGCCCACCGCTGATTTGGACGGGAACATCAGAGTCCTCTGCCTTGATGGCTGTCTGTCACCCTCACGCTGCGAGACCCAGGCTTCCCTTCTTCTTCCCAGAGCGGTGAGCTCAGCAGACAAAGAGTGCCAAATAAACAAAGGGTAAGCCTGACCCCATGGTGCCAAGGCAGGAGTTCTCTCGCTTCCTCAGAGCTGGCAGACAGCTCTCCCAGTAAGCTGTTTTCAGCTGTATACACAAAATAAAATGGGCAGAGGCCAAGACCAGGATGGGATATAAAAAGAGAATTTACAAAACTGCCGCCTGCTCCAAGGCAAACAAAGTTGGCTTCTGATTCTTTGGTGGCCACACAGCAGGTTAGTCATGAGCATGGCTTGGACTTTGATACCAAGTGGCTAGTAGGAGGGGTATTTTCCGAGGTTCTACAACACAGATCTATGCTTTGGAGGTGACTCTAAAATAACTTTATTTTGACTGTGACCATCCCACTGAACTACAGATTTCATCCCAGTCTTCATTAGCCTTATATCTCTTCCATCCCTAATCCTCCAAATTACAAGTGCAACGTGTTCCAGGCGAGACTCGAGTACACAGGCTTCTAAGGACACAGAAGTGGCACAGCTTGTTTGCCAAACTGCAGCATTAAAAAAAATAAAACACAGACATATGCATGCTTCCTTGGACACACGTACAGCCCTCTTCTGAGCCAAGTCTTGAAATCCACAACCACGCTGTTTGAGCGCCGGACAAACACAAGTCCACCAGAAAAGTTCCACTTTACCCAATCTTTTACTCATTCTAAGCACAGCTTATCACTCATCACATTCTGCTGAGGCCATCCTCTCACATCTGGCTTGGCAACATCAAAACTGAGAGTGAAAAGAGGCTCTGCACAGCTCGGAATACAGACTGACTTCTTGTTGCTGAGCACAATGTTACTCACAAGGTTGTTAAGCTGAAGGAGAACCACTTAATCTCTATTCTTCCAGGTGTCCTATCCATTATTTCCTAGCCTCACTCCCCCAGAACATCCCTCAAAAGAACACATTCCTTTTCTACTGCTTCTCACTACTCTCCCACTTTGAGACAAGGTGACAAGAGTTTACTGCGCTTTGCTCTGACAGGCGCAAGGAACCTGCTCCCATCTGCCAGGCTTCCTACTCCTTGGAGACCGTGGCTTTTCCCTCTCTGCAGCCACGCTCTGCGAGCAGCGCCCGCTGACAGCTTTGTGCCAAATCTCTTTTTGCAGGGCTGTGGGGTACAAGGCTTATCCTGTCTCCTATGCCATAGCCATCGCTCCCTCTGGGCCAACTTTCAACGGGAACTAACTTCATCTTAACTTCAGTCTTTGCTTCCATATTCTCGGATTCTGGTGACACACTGGCAGAGCAGCTCGAATGAAAGACGCTATTCCTCCTCAAAGACGAGCTGCACGCACACACTGCCATGTCCAAGGTGACAGCCTTACCTCTTCCGAATTCTCTGCCCCGCCATCCTTCCCGCTACCGCTGCTGCCAGGCTTTGTAGTGCTTTTTGCAGACTTCGGAGACTCCTGGAAAGCAAACACATTCCCAGACGGTTTCAGCTTGCGCGGACTGTGGCAGGGCTTTGCAGAGCTCCGCTGTGCACCGCCAGACCCACCCACCGCCGCCCCTG